TGTGACTTCTTCTGGGTATCTGGCTCACTTCTTTCTTTGGGGTTCCAAAAGCCTAAAAACAAGGCCCCCCACTCTGCCCACCTCAAAACCCCAGCACTGCACAAGGATGGGTTTCCAGGGTGATCATTCTTGAGCATCACCTGGGAAAATTAGTCACTTAGAGAGACTATCTGACAATAAAAATAAAGAAGGGATGAGATGTAGCAGTCCCCCACCCTTCTTCTCCAAAATAAGGCACTCTATTATCCAAAAAATACTAATCTTCTGGCCTGGCACACACAAGGTCTGGAGTTCCAATCCTGGTAGGTACAAAAAAAAAAAAAAAAAAAAAAAAAAATGCTAATCTTATAATGTCCTTCATGGCAACCTGTAGGGTCTCCTAAATCCATTCTGACTATTCCTTAATTGAGGACAAACTCCACTTGGGTGGTGACGGCAGCTGAGTCTCCTTCCTCACACTGTCGGCAAGCCAGAGTATAGCAGTGAGAGGGCCCCAGGCTTGAGGTTTGGGGTGCGGGGCTCAGCCTGTCATCTTAAGGTCTCAATGTCCTCCCTCACACTGGGCATAGCATTCTACTGACATGAAGTCAATGAGAGGATTAAAGAAAAATGGAAGCTGTGGTGGGTGCTGAATGAATGAAAGGTGGGAAATGTAAAGGTCCATTAGGCACAGGCAGCTGTCTGTAAGGTTCTGCCTTGTCTGGAGTGAGGCAGAGTCAGGGCAGGGTGGAGACTGGGTGGGTCTGGGAGTGGGAGGGTAGAGATGCCCCCAGGCCTTGAGTGGGTGGGTGGGACCTGAATGGCTGAGCCTATCCTGGAGAGTGGGCGGACTCAGCGGGGTATTTAAAGAACTCTCCCTCAGAGCCCTCCTTTCCACACTCCTCTCACTTTGGTCAGAGGTTCTCCGAGCAGCCTTGGATAGCACTGGTACTTGGAGAAGGTGCACCGCATACTTGACATGGCTGACAAAGGTAAGTTAGTGGGAAACTGTAATGTGTTAAGTGTGCGTTAGGCGATGCAATGGATTAGTGTCTCGTCTGGGTTGGAAATTTTATCTCTTAAAATTATAGGTAGAGCCAGGCATGTTGGCAAATGCTGGTCATCCCAGCACTTGGAAGGCTGAGGCTCGAGGATGGCCTCAAATTCAAGGTCAGCCTCGGCTACATAGTGAGTTCAAGGTCTGGCTGAACTGCACAGCTAGACCCTGTCTCAAAAAAAAAAAAAAAAGTAGAGGCAGTGGGATCTCAAGTTGGAGGCAAGATTTGACAACTTTTTAAACTGATGAGATATAAAGAAACTTTAAAAGTCTTTGGGGAACACTTCAGGGCAAAGGCTGTGAATTCACTCCTGAGTACCTTGAAAAAATACAAGAAGCATTTCAATAGGCTGGGGACAATCTCTGTCACCAACATGACTATCTATGATGACTGAACACTGGAATTATGGAGTAGCACTTTCTGAGATGGTGAAGTATTCAAAATGGACCTATGAAAATTGTAGTAAAAAAATTGCTTATATCTGCAGATACATGGTATGATCAAATGATTTGGTGGAAGTTTGAATCAAAGTTTATGATAGGAAAAAAATGCATTGCCATTAGACTGTCAAACTAGTCTCTTTTGCTTTGAATACACTTAGCCCATATTTCTTGCCAGTTCCTGAAGCAGCTCTGGAAGTCCTCTTTACTGAGGTCTCTTACAAGCATTATCAAAAGTCTGTGAAAGCTCTGGGCAGTGCCCTTCCGGGAAAGGCAGGCTTCTATGAACAGTGCTGAGGCTCCTTCCCATAACGGCCTTCTGATCCTCTCTGTAGAGTGTGAGACTGGGCTCCACACAAATGAAATTAACCCCCACCCATGGAGCACTAGTTTTGCATAGGCATCACAGCCCACAGCCTAACCTCCACCTCTTCATCTGCACTGAGGAGACATTTATAAGAAATGGGCCGCGAAACCCCCATTGTCTGTACTTTCCATGCAGGCCCTGCTTCCACCTGAGCCCCCTTCCCCCATCTGCCAATGAAACCTGATTAAGGGATAGAAGTTGTCCTTGCTGGCATTTGTACTGCTGCCTTAGACTCCAAGGATGGGTCTCTCCACCATGTCAGGAGCATCTCTTAAGGAGAAAATTCATACATAGGAAAACACAGCATTTTACCCTTAGGAAACTCGTGCTTTTGCTGATTGCCAGTGGGGTTTTTTATGACCATGTTAGGGAAGCCTGGCTTTTTCTGCATTACTCATGCGGACAGAGACTCAGCAGGGCTGGCAAACAACTTTCCAGTGCTCTGCTGTGCCCAGCGCCCCTTCCTGTCGTACAAAGTAAACAAGAAGCTCTGCTCTCCCATAATTTGTGTCCTCTGATACTTTATGAACTCCTATAAGGAAAGGGTTAAGATCCAAGACTGTATTTTCATGCAAATTTCAATTAGTTTCAAATTGTAATCCTTTTCATACATTTATTTACTTATTATTTATTTATTTATTTATTTATTTATTTATTTATTTATTGGTCATTTTGACACAGGCTTTCACTATAGAGTTCAGGCTGGCTTTGAGCTCACTTTGTAGCCCAGGCTGGCCTCAAACTCTCAAGAATCCTCCTGCCTCAGCCTCCCGAGCGCAAGGATTATAGGCTTGTGCCACCATGCCCAGGTGTTCACACCTTTGTATTACAGAATTTTTTTTAAGTTAGGTCTCTCTGTAGTCCCAGCTGCCCTCAAACCCCAGCCTGTTTCTTGAGGTCGCTGAGGCTTGGAAACAGTCCTATGCCCCAGCTGGCATACTACACCACTGATCACTTCAGCAGACCCCCAGGGTGGGCCAAGGCAGCACTGTAATCCTTTACTCAAAGATTTCCATGCTTGTACTGGGCGTAGTGGCACACGCCTATAATCCCAGCATTCGAGAAGCTGAGGCAGGAGGATCATTGCCCGAAAGTGGCAATGAGTGAGCTGGGCTAGAAAGTGAGCTCAAGGCCAGCCTGAACTACATAGCGAGACCCTGTCTCAAAAAGACCACAAAAAGATTTCCATGCTTACTTCATTTTAGTTGATCTGTCCCTCTTTCCTTTTGTTATTTTTCAAATGGATATACTTTAAAATTATGGTTAAATGCATGGAATTATCTCCATGGAGTTTAGCAGCGTCATTGGCAGGCAAGAGCGCTGGTTTCCCTGATGAGATTAGCTACTCGTTTGTTTAATTTAAGAACAAAACCAGGCCTTTGACTCATGTTTACATCTTATATAAAATACAAGATTCTCACTCCAGGCACGTGCCTGTAATCCCAGCACTTGAGAGGCTGATGCTTGAGGATCTGCATGAGTTGATGTTCACCTGGGCTACATAATAAGTTCAAGGTCAGCCTATAGTACAAAAGTGAGACCCCCTCTCTAAAAGAAAAATGTAACCAAGCAGAAATGATTCCACAATTTTATCTCTCTAGTGAAATATATGAAATGCTCACCCTCATGCTCTAAGTAGTTTTCCCGATATTTCTCAACTGAGTGAAGCTCAGTGTTCTACTTTGAATGTGACGCTTACCACGTTGTGTTAGGACCTTAATCACCACTGCAACAGTATCAACAGCTGTGTCCTTTCAGAAATAGTCAGATTATGGGAGCTCCACCTTCCAAAATGATGCTATTAGTGCTCATTTGCTTTAGTTATCTGCTGGTGGCTTGGACATTAAGGCAATATCTCTCTGTGCCTATAATTTTCATTATAAACGATTTAATGTTGTATAATTCTGGGCTGTTTCTTGTTATTGTTTTTTTTTGTTTGTTTGTTTGGGGTTTTTTTTGTTTGTTTTTCTCCGGTACCAGGAATCGAACTCACGACCTTGCGCTTGCCAGGCAGGCACTGTGCTGCTGAGCTAAATCCCCAGCCCTCTGGGCTGTTTCTTGGATTAGGGTGTTTTTAATCCTGATAAAGCAGAACATAAACGTGAGCATCTGTACATTACTGCTCAGAGGCATTGTGCATGTTTGCACTGTGATGCCATCATCACCTCCATCCTGCCCTTTCTATTTGCCAAAGCTGGAGCTTTCTGCCCATGAAACATTCACTTCACAGGGCTTGCTCTCGCGCACCCTTTAAGTCACCATTTTATTTAAATTAAACTTATGAATTGGACCCCTGTAGACACCTCATATGAGCAGAATTGTTGGATAATATAGTAGTTTAAATTATTTGGAAAACTGCCATAGAAGTTATACCACATTGCATGTCCACCCATACTATACAATGTTTCCAATTTCCATCCATCCTCAGCCACATCTTCCTGGTTTTTAAGTAACAGCAACCATATAGAGGATATATGTCTACAGATTGGACTGTCTTTTCCTTAGCGGTTAATGCTGTTAAATATCTCTGCATGTCTGTGTCTTCTTCATTGCTCTCCACTTTTATACTCCAGTGACTTTTGTCATTCCTAAGAAATACTTCACTTTTCTGAAAATCTTAAAGAATGTCCTTTTATTTTGTTTAGTTAATATATTTAATTTGAAATAGCTCTTACTAAGTTTCTCTGGCTGTCCTTCTCCTGCTCATCAAGGTATCCTCTTGCCTCAAAACTGAAGGTTTAGAAATACAGGCCTGTGCTACCATAAGTGCATTAAGAATCCCATTTCAAAAAAAATCTCCTCTCTTTCAGGCATGCTAGGGTACACCTTTAATTGGAGCACCTGGGAGGCTGAGGCAAAAGGATCACTGTGAGTTTAAGGCCACCTAAGCTACCTACTGAGTTCATGTCATGGCTGCACTACAAATTGAGACCATGTCTCAAAATAAATACATACATAGATAGATACATAAATGTTTTTTAAATCTCCTTTCATCTTTATTCTCTTAAAATAGTTATTACTTTATTAGTCATTTCATTGTTAATATGGATGAGGCTACAGTCTTACAAATCTTAAATGATGAGTTGCTACAGCATAACACTTTTAAGTGCTATTGGTATTCCCTCATACTTTTCTTTATATTTCCACATTTTTCAGAAACTTCACGTAAAAAAGATGACCGCAGCAAAGCACAAGAAAAGAAATGTGGAATGCGAAAAACAAGACTTCCACACAGGTTCACAAAGGATGAGTCAGAAATTCTGAAACGATCATTTCAAGAGAATCCATACCCGACTTTCACTACCAAGAAAGAACTTGCCAGTGAACTCCACTGTCAACTGTATGTCATTGAGGTAAGTCCAATATCCAAAGTTTCTATGGATGTATGTTTTGTAGATAATATGAAAAATGGAAGAAATTTTGACCATGTTTCATAGCATGCCATATCATGTAACAGTCTTGAGAGTCATTTATCTACACTTCAGTATAGGTATGTATACCTTACGCATACATGTTATGAAAAAATAATTTATGAGACTAGCTGAGGAGCATGGACCAGAGAAGCAGTGTTCCTAATTTTCCAGGATGGAGACTGTGATGTTCAGAGCAGGGAGCTGGCTGTGTAACTCCTCAGCATTGGAAGACTTTCTGTATTTTGAATGTAGAGCTGACCATTTGCTGAGGTATTGGCTATAGAGTGGGAGAAGACCAGCAAAGGAAGGATCCTAGAGTTTGGCTTAAGCCAGTGGAAGATTAGATTTGTGTATCATTAATAAAAGAAGACCTGGAGGAGCAGCCGCTGTATGTCAGACACTGGATGTTTGAGATTGAACATGGGAAGTTGGGGGTGCCAAGGAAATCATTAAGATATAACAAAAATAAAAGGTTACATAGAACAATATCAAGGGCAGAAGGAAGAACAAGGCTTGCTCTTGCCCAGCACTTGACCTCTCTCAGTGTTCTAGGTACTTCAAAATCTTATGTGCCAGAAAGCTGTGTATTTTTGGAGGGGAAATATATGACAAGGTTGTTTCTGTAAATTATCATTCAAGATGCACAAAACTGTTCCACATTTTAATTGTAATAGTTAGGGCTGAGGGTGTGGCTAAGAGGAAGATCAGAAGCCCACATGGTGGAGGACATTGGTTCAATCCCAAGCATTTCAAATCTAAAGTACTTTTATACATTTCTCAGTTTTCCATGTTTTTGTTCTGTCATTATTTTGGATCATGGAGTATATTGTTTGCATATTAATTGAAGGAAACTTTTTCAGTGGAAATAAGAGAGGATATAACAATGGCCTTGGAAAATAAAAGAAATGTAGCACATTCTCTGTAAACAAATCACTTATAATATAAAACTCATGAAGTGGAAAAACTTAAAAGGACATTCAAATCAATGATTTTACAAATCAATAGAAAATCTGAATGAGGTAATGTGTGGAAAAAGATTTTGGATTAAAATGAGGCTCATGTCCTGAGTGAATGCCAATTATGTGATCCAGAAGCTTTCATGGAAGAGGACAGGGTCACAGGAGGCTTTCACAAGACAAAGTGTTGTCTTCTTTCTTCGTGGCATCCTATGAGATCTACCTCCAGGTTATTTCTATAGCCACTGAAAAAAGTTTCATTCTTTATCCTGATGTGTCTTGCACTCTGATTTTGTGAGATGCAAAAGAAAGCATGTTTGAAGGTGTCACATTTATTGTGAATATGACAAATTTATATTAGGCAAAGACAAATATGCATCAGTGAGCCTTCTAGCTATTATGCTATCACAATTCTGAATGTGGAGAGGGGGCCTAAAAAAAATGCAAATATCAAAATGCTCCCAGACATTCCTGACAATACTCAAGCTTCTAAATGACCAACCAGCAAAGTAGCTAATTAGAATGGAGAGTCTACAACAGCAATTTATCATGTGCACACTTCTCCCCGAAATTTTAGAGAGTCTGATTTTCATGAGCTGTTATCATCCTTTTACGAAGGAGGAAACACAGAAGATAGGAGTTGTCCTATAACATGTTTAGGGTCACAGAAAACACTCTTCTTGGTTGTGAAAAACTCTTTTTTCTTCTGTGCAAGAACTTTGAATACAATGCATTTAAGAATATAATTGATGATACCTTGATTCTAAAGGTATCATGGTAGGACAGCTTCAGGAAATACACAAGGTACAGGAATGTCACTCTTGGAGAGTATTCTGTCTAAATGCTTAAAATTATCAGTGGGTTGTAGACTGGTCAGGGAATGATTTTGAAAACCACAGTTACTACATCAAGAAAAGTTACTGCGAACCATGGAAACAGTTAACATTTCAAAACTACCAAAACGAGTGCCACTAAAGCCAGGGTGGCCTTCATCTGTTACATCATCTAGTGGTCAGGAAGCAAGATATTAATAATGCTCAGGCCAAGCTGACCTAGAGAATGTTCCTTCAGTTTAGAAATGCCTTAGCTATAACTAGAAAACTAAATTTAATGGATGTATTTTTCTTTGTCTTTAGAACTGGTTCCAAGATAGAAGATACCGACTACCACCTGCAGAGAAAAAGAGAATCTTTGCCATCAAGAAATTAAATGGGTTCCCCATTCAAAGGTCTCAGTCCCTGCTCTCCCCAAATAGCCAGGCACAATCTGACCACTCATCCAAGCAGCAAACTGCCTTGTATGCCCAAGAGACACTACTACATAGAGCTGGTTATAATTCACTGGAAACGCATACAATTCCAAGTGGACACATTAGCACAGGATATTCTCTGGTCACAGGCATTCACGAGAAGCCAAGATCTTCCCTGGAGTATCAAAGGACCGCAGCAAGTGAACATTCTTCCACCTACACACCAGCCAACTTTTTTTATCCTAATACACCTGGGCAGTATTTTGAAAGTGCCAGGTATGAGCCAGAGAAAAGCCACCATTCTCTGCCCTTCCCATCCCATTATGTTTTCCCTGGCCAGGAGACAGGCCAGCAACAAGAAGAGCACAAGACCTATTATCAGTATCTGTCACTTCAAGGACAGCAGCCAAACCCTTGGGGGTGCCATCTGCAGCGGCTGTCACAGCCTCAGTGTTACCAAGAGAAGTACCAGTGGCCATTCCAAGACCAATTTCTGGCATGCCAGGATCCAAGGAATTTAGGGCAACAGGAGCCCCCACTGGCATTAGAGCAGGAAAGTAATGAATGTGCCCTGAGTTCTCTGCCACAGCAGGCACCGGTGCACATAGCAGACAGGTGTCCACCACCTCTTGGACAAGTGATGGAGCAAGTTTATGAAGGGGATTCAAGCTTTGAAGTGCAGTATCTTGAGAATAGTGTCCACTGGTGCAACCATCAGTGTGGTTGCAAGTGATAGAAGGGCTGAGAAACAGTCATACAACACGCTGTCTATGGAGGAGGGAAGAAACTCTTTGCAGAAACTCTCACTGTTAATTAGAGCAACTCCCCCAGGTGATTAATACAAGGATTGGTACATGTGTATGAAACAGAACTATTTTGAGTGACTGTACTGCATATGTACACAAATACCACATTTGTCCAAAATGGCACTCTTACTTCTAGCAGTTGTATTTATTTTTACTGATCTCATGCAGAAGAACTGCCATAGTATGCGCATTCTCAACAGTGAGAGTCAGAAGACTGTCTGCATTGCCCATTTTCAGCTTCACCCCTCCTTGTGTATCAAAGAACTCCTTTGCTTTCTCTTTTAGGGTCTTAGTGTCCTCTGTATAAGTCTTGAGTTTAAAATGCTTTATTTTTCTATTGCAACATTGAGATTTTTTTTTCTCTAAAATTGCTGAAGTCATTTAAATAGATTTTTCTCACATTAAAGAGTTTTTTGAGGGGACCTGTGAATTGCCCTCTAGGGAGTTCCTCAACTGTGATATATCCACAGGCCCATTTTGAAAGAATAATTTGTGTCTGTACCACTTGCCCAAGTTGGCTTTGAACTTCTCATCCTTTTTTTTTTTTTTTTAGTTTTTTGGTTTTTTTTTTTTAACGTTTAATCCTTCTGCCTCACTCAGCTGCCAAGTAGCTGGACCTACAGACAAATGCCTCTATGCCAGCATAGAAATGTTCTGCTCCGCAGCAACGCAACTAATCCAAGCATATTTACTTATGTATTGCTGCACTACTTTGCCTTATATTTTGATTCAAAATTTTCCCCATTATGTTCATGAGTAAGTTGTACGCTTTTTCTCCACTGGGATTATCTGGAGGGATTTGGAGTTTGTTCAATCTTATATGGAAAGTGTGTTTTTCTTACTATGTTTGTAAATTCTTTTTAAAAATGGTAAAAAAAAAAAAAAATTAAAATTAAAAAAAAAAAATGGCTGGGATCTAGCTCAGCGGCATGGTGCCTGCCTTGGTGCCTGCCTGGAAAGCACGAGGTTGTGAGTTCAATTCCCAGTACCAAATATAAATAAATAAATAATAGTATCTCATAGTATCTCTTCATTAAAGTTTTAAAATTTTCAGTGACTGTGCCTGCCGTTTCCTTTATAAGGAAAGATTTCTATGCATTGCACGCTTCAAGTGACTGTAACACAACTCTGTCTCATTGAGTCACATTTCCAAGCTGGATTTTTTCAAGAATATGTACATTTCACCAAAGACTTCAAGTTTCCAGCCATGAACTCACTCCAGATACCCCTCGACATCTCATACTTAGCCTACTGTACTACTGACTACTTCATACTTATACTTTCCATATGTTTCCTGACCTTGTATTGCTACAGGTTTCTTCCCAGCAGGAGCATGGAAGTCAGAGTCAGGTGCCAGCGGGCCAGGCCCCTGCAGTTCTCCAGCCATGGATCCACACTTGGTCACTTCTCTAAGGGTCAACTTGGCACTAGAAATGTTCTCAGTAAAGGTGTGGTAGTGGTGACCAGAGCAAGAGTCGTGCTTGGTCCAGGGCATTTGCAGAGCTGCTTGTTGTATCAGTCAGGGTTTACTAGAGGAACAGATATAATACAAGATAAACAAATGTACAAGAAATTACAAGTTTGGCTTACAATGGTCAGCTACAGAGTTGGATGAGGAAGCATGCAGAGGGAGTCTGCACGCTGGAGACTGAAGAGCCCAGTCCCGGGCTTGGAGCTCGCTGCAGTGTCCATGCAAGTCGGTATCAAAAGGCTGATGGGTCTGCGATGGAATGCTGAAGAGTCTACGATGAAGGCCAGAGAGCCAACACCAGAAGGCTGAAGAGTCCAGACAGAAGCCCAACAGTCTGCACCTGAAGCCAGGAGACGACCAAGCTGAAGGCAAAGACCGGAGCTCCTCTGAAGAACCAGCAGCCAGTCCTTCCTCAATTCCTTTTTTTATGCAGTCTACCTGCTCTGGGGAGGTGGGGGTGGTCCTCCACACCCACACCCTCTGCATGCCTGGCTCTTGCACAGGCTCAGGATGAATACAAAGTAAGCACCCTGGACCCCTTCTGAGTTGCATAGTTAACCTTCTAAACTTCTCAAATTAACACAATAAACAACATCCCAGAAGGGTAAGGGCGTGTCCTTTTCACCCCAAGAGGCAGAACTGCTGAGTCACTTAGCCAAACCTCTAGATTCCCCAAGTTGGCACAATGTATCAACCATAACAGTTGTGTAAATCCCTCAGTATCACGCATAAAGACACTGGCACTCTACAGCGGCTCCCTGTAACCTCCCTCACTTGGGAGTTGGGATGTTCAGGAGAAGCTCTCAGTTTTTACATTTTGATTTTACCCCTTCTTTTGATGCAGGGCGCCTCCTGGTGTGCACCCGTGAAAGCTCAGTGTGAGCACTGGCGGGAAGAGACCTTTGCAAGGTCTCTCAAGCACAGATAGGGCTTCAAGTCCAAGAAGAGTAATTGAGATTTACTCCTCAGCGCTCAGATCAAAGTATGTGCACTGCAGACCAAGGTGGGAGCACTGCTCTGGAGGAACACTTGGGACTCATCCCTTACTGTGACTGCTCAAAACTTGTTACAAGTTTTGAATGTAACCCTTACGTGTGGTTCCAAAGGGATAGAGCCTGTGCAGGGTCACTGGGAGCCTCACAGAGCAATCTCATTTCTCATCGGCAGGGGTAAAAGACCTGGACACTGAAGAGTGCCAGGTGCAGGGGCATCTGCAGGAGGGGGTGGCTGCTGAGGAATTTGAAGGTGCCTGTAACCTTAGTGCCATTCCTTAAGTGCCTCTGTGCAATGCAAGGAGAGAGGATTTGGTCTGTTCCTCTCTCACCTCCTGTGCAGCCCTGGTGCAGGGGGATCTATACAGAGTTTCAGGAGCATGACCAATTCAAGCTCTAGCAAAGTGGGTAATTGCTTGGCTCAGCAATTACAGAAGTGTTCAAAGGAAAATGCCACAGGAAAGGGCACAATTGTTTCTATCAACTTAAATTGGTCCATCTAGATTTCAAGTCTTCCTTCCCATGTTGCTTTTGGTAACCCAACCCTGCAGTGCTTGAAACATATCCATACACATGTTGCTGATGCCAATAGCACATATCTGAGGTGTACATGTAAGAACCATGCTCACAGACAATCTCAATTTTCTCCATTAAACAGTTCATAAAAACCCAAATTAAGTTTTATAAAACCAAGACTCATGTTGAAGCATTAGAGGAATGAATCATTGTATGGAACTTATTCATTTCTGTGTACACTTTCACCCATACTAAAGATTCAAATTCTTCTCCCTGCCTCGTAGGCCCCGGGAGGGAGGGCCTCCGGCACACGGGGAGCCATGGGCGGGGAGCACCGGTCTTCTGGCTGGCTAGCTTCCTGCCTCATAGGCCCCTGGAGGGAGGGCCCCCGGCGCGAGCAGGGAGCCATGAGACGGCAAGCACTGTTGCGCGCCGGTCCTTAGGCCGGCCGCCGCCGCTCAATTGAGAACTATCATACACAGAGAAACAATGACACAATTGGCCCACCATGCACCGGCTGCAGATGCCCACCTATGGATATGTGTGAATCATTCAAACATGGAGAAACCCCTGGGAATACATGCCATACAATGGGCCACTCTTGCTCCTGCCATTGAGAACCAGAAAGGTCCAGAGTCAGCAGAGGAGCAGCTGCTGAACAAGGACTCAG